CCAGGTATTTCTTAAAAATGAAACACAACCAAAGAGTAAAAAAGCACCATTAGGTGTATGTTATGAATTAACAAATTTTTATTAGAATAACATACAGTCCGTACATATTTCTTGAGATAGAATTTAAATACATAAAACATTTTTCTTTGCTACGTTGTTTTTAACTTGAGCTCATATCATTTCAATCGGACGAACGATGAACGCTACGCCGCCAATGTCTTTCTACCTCGGGTGTCGAATGCGGTTAATTCCCAGAAAGTGACGCAGGGGTCTTCTTGGATCCCTATCACAACAAATATCGTACGGACTGTACTTTCACTAGACTAATTATAATATCAAGGAGTAATACATAATTATCATTTAGGGTGTAGTACAATTTATATGCTAACAGAGCATGCAATGCTTTTGATGTAACATTTCCAAAATAATTTTAATTACTTAATATTTATGAACCAGGAAACACCTTCAGCTATAACTCAGATAGTATCAGCTAAGTTTATCCCAAAGGAATTTTGATATTGAAAACTGTAGCATATAAAATTAATTATCTGCAAAAACACGAAAATACTTAGTACTGTGTGTGTGTGTGTGTACTATCAGAATAGGAAGTTAAAAGCTAATGACGTATCATGTGATCTACAAGGAGACATACTAATAAATATTACAGAATTAAACATGTTATTGATGCAGCAAAAAAGTATAATATTTATCTTATACATACTCCAACTATTTACAATTAGAACTATCAACAGTATAAATATATATATATATAATGTTGATAATTTTGGAGGAAATTGACTTTGTAAGAGTGAAAAGGAAAACATAGCGAAAGCCATAAGTAATACGGACGAAAAAATGTTCTCGTATATTATACAAATATTCACGGGCAAATGAATAAATTGAAGCCAGATATTTTTAAGGCAGAAGAATGGAGGCTTCATAGATTCCTCTAAATGAAATCTAAAGGAAATCCTTCTCCATAATACGAGTAATTTCACCTCTATTCCTATAATACATTCATGACACCGAAAGAGGGGTACAATAATATGAAATTGGTTTTAGATAGGATGAAATATGATGTTCGTAAGTGATGGGATTGTGGAAATTTAAAAGTTATAACCATTCTTTTAGGGCAACAAGCCTAATGCACAATATATCCCTGTTTTTTATGCAAATGGTATAGCAGAGATAGAAAAAAACCATTACAAGAACTTCCTTAGATCCTGGAACAACAAGTATTGTCAATGCATCATTGATAGATCCATCAAAGGTTCTTCTTCCGCCATTATTTATTAAACTTGGGCTAATAAAAAGAGCTTTAAATAAAGAAGGAAACTATTTTAAGTACTTAGAAAAACTAAAAGAAGGAACATTTGACGGACCCCAAATTCGTACTATGTTGAATGATAAAAATTTTGTTGAAGTTATGAACAACGTAGACAAAGCTGCGTGGTTTAGTTTTAAATACGTTGTTGAAAATTTCCTAGGCAATGACCAAAAGTAAAGAATACAAGTGTGAATCTGGAAATCTGGAAAATCTTGGAGACTATACCGAAGAACAAGGAGAAAGATGTCACTAAGATATTCGAGAAATGGAATGACGCTATCAAAGAAACTGGATCGTGAATATGATGGCTGATTACTGTTGGATACTGGAACTAAAACTGGAAAAAGAGGACACCACTACATAGATCTTTTGAAGACAAAATACTTCGTTATCATAAAATAAAGTAACTTGATAGACCACGAATTTAACATAAACGAAGGGGATTACACAAACTAGAATAATAATAGTCCACCATCAGTTCTAAGCTTAACAAAACCTACCAAAGTCGAATCTTAAAAAAACAGACTGGTATAAACCACAAATTCTGAATCTAGCATAACCTAATGTATCGCAGGATAAACAAGCAAAATGGCAAATACCTACTGTAAAGCCTACACGTGACATAACCTGATGCAACAAATTAATAAAAAGGAATATATTGTCACGTTTACCTGTCTATCTCCTGTTGGTCTTTAAAATACTAAAACAAATAGTGACAAAAATATATTATCTGATCGAGCTACTCGCTTGGTTGCTGAGAGGGTAGAAATAGAGAGGCAAATCAATTCATTTTAATATTTCATTTCATAAAATACACACACCTCTGAGGGTTTGCTTTTCATGTGGAGAACAAAATTGTGAACTGGCTCCTGGCCATCGACTGGCTCTCAATGTGGTTCCGGACTAGCCCGGTTCACCAAGTCTCCGGGATTTAAATATTCTTTTTAAAATGCTGAGTGCAAAGTGCATTCATGAGCGCATCTAGGATTTTTGCTTGGGGTAGGTCAAGGGCTGCTGCAAGCTCTGTGGAAGCCTCTAATAAAAAAAATGCAAGTTTGGGCAGGACATAACTAATACAATGCGAAATATCGCCTTACTGTTAAAAATGTTGTCACCACCGTTCCTTTTGGTGAAAATTCGAAATATTTGAAATTATTCAATTTTCGTGGCTCGAAAACATACATAGGTATTGTATTTTCGAAACCGAGAGAGTTGCACTAACCAAATTTGGACAAGACATAGCTAATACAATGCGAAATATCGCCTTAATGTTAAAAATGTTGTCACCGCCATTCTTGTTGGTCAAAATTCGAAATATTTGGAATTATTCAATTTTCGTGACTGAAAACATACATAGGTATTGTATTTTCAAAACCGAGAGAGTTGCACTAACTAAATTTGGACAGGAGATAGCTAATACAATGCGAAATATTACCTTAATGTTAAAAATGTTCTCATCGCCATTCTTGTGGGTGAAAATTCGAAATATTTGGAATTATTCAATTTTCGTGGCTGAAAACATACATAGGTATTGTATTTTCGAAACCGAGAGAGTTGCGCTAACCAAATTTGGACAGGACATAGCTAATACAATGCGAAACGTCGCCTTAATAAAAAACACGCAATCAACGACTTATCGATATAATATTTCAAAGCCTAAGCACTTTTTCGTCTGATTCTAAAAAAAAAGGTAACTTAGTCAGCGATTTACTGATATGAGAAAGATGTTCCCCTAATGCCCATGAGTGCATTAGAATTAAACAGCGGATAAAGGAATTGGGAACAATGACTGAGTCAATTCACCAGTTTATAGAGAGAGTGTGCGAGACGGACGTAGTGCAATGGTCGGTTCAATATGCATACAATTTGCAACTTTTCGTTGCTTTTAAATCTATGTAATGCTAACATGTAATTGATTCTAATTATATTTATAAATTTTATTATATTTTATACAAATGGATATTTGTACCAAAGGTATTTTTCTGAAAACCTACTAATAAAATATGTGTCCAAATAAAGTAATGCCATATGTCCATTCATATTTATCTTACAAAGTTTTAACTATATTTACAGGGTGATTATTTAAATTTTCAATATTACTCTTCCTCTCTCTCTAAAATATTTATAGTTGACAAATGAGATCTAAACCTAACTAACTTAAGGAAAAAGCAAACGAAACTCCGGGTAACTCGATATTTAAAAAAAACAAGCATGTTAATTGGGTCAAAATAAAAACTTTTATTCTTGCACTTTTTTCTCTAAAATTCATTATTGAGAAGTTATAGTAGTACATTTTAATGCTCAATAATATATTTTACAATAAAAAGTTTTTATTTTCATCCTATTAACACTGACTGTACTTTAATTTCAAAATATTAATTATTTTAACAAAAAAATCCAGATTTCTATTGATTTTGAGACATTTTTTGAGGTTAATGGAAAATCCTGACGTAATAGAGCATTTCTAATGGCTCCATCGCCTTCAGCGGGTCAAAATGCAGGGAGGTATCATAGTCCGTTAAAAAATATGTTATTTTTGTGTGTGTGTTTATGTATGTTGTGTCGAATTAGATCATAAAGTCTGAAAACTTAAAAAATTATTAGTAGACATTTTATTACACTTTATGCCGGGGAAGGGTATGTAGAAAAAAGAAAAAAGTAACTTGTAAATGTAAAACTTTCGGAAAATAAAAGTTTAACTCTTTCTTCAATTAACGTTATGAAAAGAAAGCTATCTTTACTTGGGAACAAAGAGGGCTAGGTGAATTCTTTTTTTTTATTACTGTAAAAATAAGCTCTATTTAATGTAAACAAAAACGAATTCCCTAGCGGTGGCGGCGGCGTTTGCCTGACCCTGTGACAATTGTTTTGCGCGTCTTACTTTGTTAATTGTAAAGGGCTACCTAATTTCAACTTTTTGAAATTTTTCTTTTTCGATTCGTTTCTTTAGATCAATTAGAACCTATGTCTATGATATTAACTTTTAAAATTAATGTTTGCATTAAACAATTAGTTCCAAATAAACAAACGAAACTAATTAACAAATACTGGAGCAACAGTTTCATGGTCAATTCAATCGGCGCTTGGCACACATTGGATTGACCGTCTTTTCCATAAATTTCATCAACATCCATCGCTTTTTTCAATAATAATACGCAATTTTCGAAAACTGATATTTCCGCATTTGGCCCTTATTTTACAGTTAACAAATTAGTAAATATGACTTAAAAACTGCTTATAACAGAAAACTAATATTCCAATAGGTCGTCTAGATTTTCGTGGGCGGTATAAAAAATTGAAAAACCACGTAATTTGCCACATTTCTAATTTACCAACTTAACGTCACTTTTTTCTAGTTACTCATTTGATATTACCATTCTACATACCCTTCCCCGTCATAAAATGCAATAAAATGTCTACTAATAATTTTTTCACGTTCAAACACCAATTCGACTGGAGTGTCAGACTTCATATTACTAATAATACTAACGTTTTTATTGCACACTTTTAATATTTTCCATATAATATAACCATTTTCTTTTAGTTTACCCGCCCTCTATAATGTGTGAAAATATTCATCACTTAATGGAATAATTGATATTAGCTGTACCCACCCTAATCCTGAACTTGTTTTTGTGGTGTCAACTCCAGTTTGTTTGTACTTTAAAAATAGTCGTGAAAATGGAACACAAACGAGAACATCCCCCGTTTTTCAAAAGTGTAAGGAATTATTTTAGAGAGTATTGCAATTATTCTAGTATACACGGCTTTAGATATTTTGGTGAAAAGAGAACGTATTTTGAAAGGTAAGCATTTATCTAGGAAATGCATGTTTCTTGTTTAAAAATATAGGTAAAAATATCATGTAATCATTGGCTATAGTGTATGATTTACTCAGTTACTAAGTACAAATAGAATAAACATGTTTAAGCGCTGCACGGAATTTTCTAATACAGGGTATTGAAAAGCGTGTCGAATACATACAAATTTTATTAGAAAACAAATTATCAAAAGTTCAACTCGATCAACAAAATCATACAAAGAACAAAATCAATAAATGCAACAAAACAGATTTGTGTAATAATTAGAAAAAAATAATTTTCTTTTGTATTCATAAACTATTTTGAAAAATTAGTTGATTAAAGTGTAGATAATATTTTTATAATTTTATAATATAAAATTTCGATTTCCTCCCGTCTACACTTGTAACCTGAGGGGTTATTTCTTTATTTAACCGTCTACCGTTATGACCAGTATCATAACGGTATTAACTTGCAAAAGAGTTTACCATTTACTTCTCGAAAGGTAGTTTATAATTATCATCATCTACACTTTAATTAATACGTGGAAACTTATTCTACTCATTTAGAATGTAATCGAGTGGTTGGTTGTATAGGGTGACACTTAAGTTGGAAGAACAAGAAAACACCAAAACTTTCCAGGAAGGGTTTTAATAACAAAAAAACACCGAGATTTAGGGAACCCAACGCAAATTCATAGCAAAATTAGGAAGGACTTTATCCGTTACTAAATTAACCCGAAGCTCTTCTAAAGTTAAGAAAACTGTCCAGTGTGGAATCCAAGAAGAAAATTGCCTTTTTTCAGAGATCTCTCCTGAATTCGACACCTCGCTTCGACACGCCCATTTCTTAGGTTCAAACGTTTCTGTACTTATCTTATTGGTGGGCTCCCTGAATATTGGCGGTTGAAATGGATTAACTATACCACGTTAATACCTAATTGACTGAATATACAATTATATGGATAATTTTGGGACTAAACTGAACTTACAAGTAACCCTACACCTTCCTCTTGTGACTCCGTATACCAACACGGGACGGATTAGTCAATCTCATATAATCTATTCTTATAGCTTGGAAAATCCAACTAATTGATCTATTATTATTTTTCTCACAACATTCTAACAACTTATTTAAATATCTCGGAATTCCTACGTCGCGTCGTTTCGAATGGATTTCTCGAATTATTAGAAATATCGATTTTTTCCTTCACCACCGCTAAACCGACGCTACCAGATGCCCAATACATGGCCCCGACCGACGGTCTAAGTGAACTTGTTCAAAAACATTGCTAAATTTCATGAGGCCTTCTCTTAAGGACGGCTTTGCATTACTCCCGGTGACATAAGGCACTAGTATCTTGACGACATTATGGCGACGCTAAACCTACTTGAAAACCCTTAACTTTTCAATAATTATTGTTGATTGAAATATTTTACTGTCTGTGTTGACACATCCGTTCCGAGAACTAACAAATAAACTATCACGCGTCCCGGCTTTTGTTGCACACTAATGAAAACAATGTTATTTAACTAATTCTCACTAATAATCATTATAATATTGGTATCCTAACAACACTGCCCTGCCTGTGAATACAACTGACTATGCAATAGTAACGGAATAAAAACATGCAAGTAAAGTAAAGTACTATGATGCAGCAGTGAATTTAAGTGTAGACAAAAAGTTTACAGAAATCACCACCAAGCAAACTTCTGACACATTGGAAGTGAATGTAGTTGTCATGATAGAATAAAAAACCTCATCACTGGTATATAAATGTATATAAATGAAATTATTTATGTAGTTATACAGGGTGTTTCTGAAATAAATTCCTTGCGTAATAAGTGAAATAAGTTCCTTGCGAAATAAGGTCTTTGCGTTCCTTGAAAATGGTCATAGCGGACACGAAAATAAGCACCTTTTATTAATCAACTGATGATCTAAAATATTACATTTTAAATTAAAAAAAAATCATATTAAGGTTTAAACAAATTTAAAACCATCCCTGGTGCGGCAGCGCTGATGGCAATTTTGACGGTTTAAATTTTGCGTTCGAAACTGCTGAAATTTATTCAAATCTCGTTTAAAAGTAACATAAGAATTAAACAATAAACGACTGCTAATAAATTGTCACCAAAAATACCACACCACACATTCACTGAAAACTGTTGCTGGAATCGAGATCTCTGTACAACGTGAGGAGGATTTGCAATACACCAATAAACATTTTATACGCCAGCTAAATAATATTGCAACATACAACGCATGTGCACAAGATGCACAGGGTCGGCTTACATTTATGGTTAATTTCCTAAATTAATTTTCTCGAAAACAGAAGCATTTAGACCGTCAATTGCTTAATAAAAGCTGCTCATCTTTGTGCCACCCATCACCCCTTTCAAGGAACACTTATTTCATAAACACCCTGTATAAGCACTGAAAATGATAACTAACAATCTAGTAAAACAAATTCAAAATAATTTTTGTCATGGCACACATTTAAAAAAGTACCTAGAATATTTTACGCTATCCGTTGTAAAAAATAGATATTAATTTTACCGGAAATTGCCTTGCAGCTTGAAAGGAATGAAAAATACCAACCTGTATATGTTTTCACCACCTACGCGAGGATCAGCGATAACTTTACACCCACCCCAACATCCCAACTGCACACCCTTATCAACAACACTACCAAGTCTTTGTTACAAACTTTCCCTCTTTTGTGTTTGAAAGTCATATATTGATTTGGCGTCCCCACACGCATTCGCTATGTGTTTTGGAAAAACCAGAGTCTTCAAAAAATAGCCAAATTCATCAATTTTCTCCCCATTGCCACCCCCGATATTGTGTAACTTCTATTCGATGCCGAAAGATCCAACCTACACAACGACATCAAAATCTATTCGATCGGACCCCTCCTCCTAATTAGATTATTAGATCATTAACGAGCTTGTCTATGACCTTATTTTTTATCATAATTTAAAAACAATATTACAATCATTTTTGACTATGCCTTTAAAGTAACAATATTATATTTTAACAAAATAAAACCAAAAATAAAAAAATGGAAAAGTCATATTTACTGTATTCTTTAAACCGTCAATTAAAGTTTCACATATTCTGAAATAGTTTTCCAAACATTTGTTTCTCTGAGGTTTATTTAAATATACGTATTATCAGCTTATTTTATGGAATTTCATTGCTCTCATTATTATAAAGTTTATAAGGACCTTCGTGATTGTTAAATATTTTACATTTTATGCAATTTTTCTCGTTTACCTTCTTTCAAAAATGATTTTTTGTTGTCAAGATATGTAATTTTAAACACATACGTTAAATGTCTGTAATTCAAATAAATTTAATTTCTCGAAATCTGTTCATTTCAGAAGTAGAAATAAATAATAATTTTCTTGTAAAAAACTGAGCAAAAACAAAAAATGTATATAACATTTTTGTCAAAATACTGAGTCAAGTGCCAAAAGCGTATAAATAACTATATTGTGTTGGGCGCACTTCTATTAATCTATCAACCACTTTTTCAATTTTTTCAACAAACGCTTTTCCCAGAATCGATTGCCTTAATTCCCAATGGGGCGTACATTGCTGTTTGCAGTTTATTAAAAATCAATATTCCTGACATTCAATAGCGTGAAACAGAAACTAATAAATTTTGAACAGGTCAATTTTTATTTTTTAAATAGTTTTGTTAAATTTTATGTTCAATTGTTTTTGGCATATAACGTCTTCATTTTTTTAACAGCCTCCAATTTTTTTGATCAGAATCAGAAAATAAAAGTCGACCTGTTAAGTTAATCTCTTTTGTTACACATATAATATTCCTAACTTTCATTACACTTGAATTGTTTTAAATTTGCAGGGGTTGGTGGTTTGTTGTATTCGCCATAACGTTGGCAGCATGCATTGTAGCGATAAGAGAAGTTTATCAGAAATGGGTTAGAAGCCCGGTCATAGTCAGCTTTGCAACAAGAGAAACGCCAATTTATAAGATACCATTCCCAGCAGTCACCATTTGTCCAGAAACAAAGTCCAAACAAAAGCTGTACAACCACACAGAGATAATAAGGAAACTGATAGAAGACCAGAACTTAACTTCAGAAGAGTAAGTACGAACACTATCAATGATCAATCAATGATCAATGAAAGTAATGATTATTACTGAAAATTTAAGACAAGGAGACAAACTTGTTACTGAAATATAACTAAAGAAGTGTGTCATAAGTGATATGTCTTAAACAGGAGTACTTACTAAGCTCATTTGGTTTTGTCTTTCTTATTAAACAGGTCCTTTATTTTTAAGAAATGCATTTTTAGAACTGATTTTAAAATTATGTAATTCGCATTCCTTTTGCCGAAACTGGAATATGGATCACTGGTATGTGCCCCTCCTATGAAATCCATGTTAAAAAGTTAGGAAATATTCAGCGTAAATTTGTTAAATACCTATGGTTCAAAATGGACACATATATCCACCTCAAGGGGTACCACAAATACTTTACTAAATCGGTTCCATCTGAATGACATCAGTGAACGACGTATGTGTAATTCATTGATCACTCTACATAAAATTGTTACCGGAAAAATCTATTGTTCAGACTTAGCTGCATTATACTTTCACACTCCTCATTATGCCACCCGTTTCTCAAGACTTTTTTGTTTTCCCACCCCTAAAACTAATCTGTTGAAATTTTGACCTTTGTACGTAATGGATCTTAATTATCGTCAGATGCAAAATTCTGTGGATATTTTTCATAATACTATTAGATGCATCAAACAAAAAGTCTTTACAAATTAGTAAATTATGTGTACTTACTTATATATTTGTTTTTTTATTCGTTTTCTTAGTTTGTAATATTATCTACAATTCATTTGTTTTATACTTATAGTTACATTTCTGTCTTTATTTGTACTAATGTTATATTTAACTGTTTTTTTTTCTTTTTTTTTTACTAAATCTTAAATGTTATTCCCATTCATTAATTGGCTTAGGCTGTCGAACGGTGTATGCTAAATAAATAAATAAATAAATAAATAAATATATTTAATTATTTCTATCAATATATATTTTACGTATTAGTTCTTGTACACTAGTAATGAGACAATTCTACTAGAAAGTAATAGGTAATAGTTTCTACGTACTTAGCTATTATTCAAGTTCAACAACTGTACTTATTTATTTTAGGAGAAAATTGTATGATTATATGGGCCTAATTTGTAAAGAAGAATACGGTCATGACTTTTCCCAAGCAGATACATTCGATGAGGATTTTTTCAAGGAACTGGAAAATGTAAGTATAGGGATTATTCATTATATAACTGCACCCGGGAAAAAAATTCTTTTAACTTCAACGCCATCTGCAATTTGCTTAAAAAAAATCCTACTTGAAATCACAAATACGTCATTAAAAAGCACTGTTCTTGTACTTATTTACCTAGTGTTTGGTTCTAATCAAGTCCCATAACACCTCGGCCTTATCAAGCCTATTGTGCATCCCACTACTCAGTCCTCTTCAGCAAGTAGTTTTGTTCTTTTTACAAAGTCCAAAAGCTTCCTCCTAATATTTCCCATTTTCTATCCATTTGCCCAGAGCCCCCTGATCACACTAAGAGATGCACCACAAAAGAGCTCCGGGACAATGAACTCTGTTTCGGATCCCTTCCTCCTCCTGGTGACGGCACTGGCAATGTCGATTGATAATGAGTGTTTGTCCGCGTTTTTTCAAATGTAGCTTCTTTCTGCATAGCCTCATTTCTGTGGTGTCTTTTAGGTTTTTTAAGCTATATTTTATCAATTCAACAATTATCCTGCTAACATAAAATCAGATCAATTCATTATTACTAAAAATATAAGACTTCGGCAAGGTTACTCAAAAAAAGCGTCAGGAATCATTAGGCGAGACCGATACCGATGCCGATGCGCACAGTGGAATTGGGAGTGTCTCTCTACCTATAGAATTTGTTACAAACGGCATGCGGCATGTCTGAAGACGATAAAGCAAGGAATGTCTCTGACTGACGGGGCCTTTACCAACGCCAGAGATAAGGACGCCTCGGCCTGCCGGGGCCGTTATCAGTAAAGTCTCGAGGACTAAGGAAATAAAACTTGGCGGAATTGAAGGACCAGCAAAGACACAGCCAAAGAATACCTGGCTATGTCCAGGGTAAGCCTTCGGTAAGGGGATTCAGACAGAACACNAATATACAATTATATGGATAATTTTGGGACTAAACTGAACTTACAAGTAACCCTACACCTTCCTCTTGTGACTCCGTATACCAACACGGGACGGATTAGTCAATCTCATATAATCTATTCTTATAGCTTGGAAAATCCAACTAATTGATCTATTATTATTTTTCTCACAACATTCTAACAACTTATTTAAATATCTCGGAATTCCTACGTCGCGTCGTTTCGAATGGATTTCTCGAATTATTAGAAATATCGATTTTTTCCTTCACCACCGCTAAACCGACGCTACCAGATGCCCAATACATGGCCCCGACCGACGGTCTAAGTGAACTTGTTCAAAAACATTGCTAAATTTCATGAGGCCTTCTCTTAAGGACGGCTTTGCATTACTCCCGGTGACATAAGGCACTAGTATCTTGACGACATTATGGCGACGCTAAACCTACTTGAAAACCCTTAACTTTTCAATAATTATTGTTGATTGAAATATTTTACTGTCTGTGTTGACACATCCGTTCCGAGAACTAACAAATAAACTATCACGCGTCCCGGCTTTTGTTGCACACTAATGAAAACAATGTTATTTAACTAATTCTCACTAATAATCATTATAATATTGGTATCCTAACAACACTGCCCTGCCTGTGAATACAACTGACTATGCAATAGTAACGGAATAAAAACATGCAAGTAAAGTAAAGTACTATGATGCAGCAGTGAATTTAAGTGTAGACAAAAAGTTTACAGAAATCACCACCAAGCAAACTTCTGACACATTGGAAGTGAATGTAGTTGTCATGATAGAATAAAAAACCTCATCACTGGTATATAAATGTATATAAATGAAATTATTTATGTAGTTATACAGGGTGTTTCTGAAATAAATTCCTTGCGTAATAAGTGAAATAAGTTCCTTGCGAAATAAGGTCTTTGCGTTCCTTGAAAATGGTCATAGCGGACACGAAAATAAGCACCTTTTATTAATCAACTGATGATCTAAAATATTACATTTTAAATTAAAAAAAAATCATATTAAGGTTTAAACAAATTTAAAACCATCCCTGGTGCAGCGGCGCTGATGGCAATTTTGACGGTTTAAATTTTGTGTTCGAAACTGCTGAAATTTATTCAAATCTCGTTTAAAAGTAACATAAGAATTAAACGAATAAACGACTGCTAATAAATTGTCACCAAAAATACCACACCACACATTCACTGAAAACTGTTGCTGGAATCGAGATCTCTGTACAACGTGAGGAGGATTTGCAATACACCAATAAACATTTTATACGCCAGCTAAATAATATTGCAACATACAACGCATGTGCACAAGATGCACAGGGTCGGCTTACATTTATGGTTAATTTCCTAAATTAATTTTCTCGAAAACAGAAGCATTTAGACCGTCAATTGCTTAATAAAAGCTGCTCATCTTTGTGCCACCCATCACCCCTTTCAAGGAACACTTATTTCATAAACACCCTGTATAAGCACTGAAAATGATAACTAACAATCTAGTAAAACAAATTCAAAATAATTTTTGTCATGGCACACATTTAAAAAAGTACCTAGAATATTTTACGCTATCCGTTGTAAAAAATAGATATTAATTTTACCGGAAATTGCCTTGCAGCTTGAAAGGAATGAAAAATACCAACCTGTATATGTTTTCACCACCTACGCGAGGATCAGCGATAACTTTACACCCACCCCAACATCCCAACTGCACACCCTTATCAACAACACTACCAAGTCTTTGTTACAAACTTTCCCTCTTTTGTGTTTGAAAGTCATATATTGATTTGGCGTCCCCACACGCATTCGCTATGTGTTTTGGAAAAACCAGAGTCTTCAAAAAATAGCCAAATTCATCAATTTTCTCCCCATTGCCACCCCCGATATTGTGTAACTTCTATTCGATGCCGAAAGATCCAACCTACACAACGACATCAAAATCTATTCGATCGGACCCCTCCTCCTAATTAGATTATTAGATCATTAACGAGCTTGTCTATGACCTTATTTTTTATCATAATTTAAAAACAATATTACAATCATTTTTGACTATGCCTTTAAAGTAACAATATTATATTTTAACAAAATAAAACCAAAAATAAAAAAATGGAAAAGTCATATTTACTGTATTCTTTAAACCGTCAATTAAAGTTTCACATATTCTGAAATAGTTTTCCAAACATTTGTTTCTCTGAGGTTTATTTAAATATACGTATTATCAGCTTATTTTATGGAATTTCATTGCTCTCATTATTATAAAGTTTATAAGGACCTTCGTGATTGTTAAATATTTTACATTTTATGCAATTTTTCTCGTTTACCTTCTTTCAAAAATGATTTTTTGTTGTCAAGATATGTAATTTTAAACACATACGTTAAATGTCTGTAATTCAAATAAATTTAATTTCTCGAAATCTGTTCATTTCAGAAGTAGAAATAAATAATAATTTTCTTGTAAAAAACTGAGCAAAAACAAAAAATGTATATAACATTTTTGTCAAAATACTGAGTCAAGTGCCAAAAGCGTATAAATAACTATATTGTGTTGGGCGCACTTCTATTAATCTATCAACCACTTTTTCAATTTTTTCAACAAACGCTTTTCCCAGAATCGATTGCCTTAATTCCCAATGGGGCGTACATTGCTGTTTGCAGTTTATTAAAAATCAATATTCCTGACATTCAATAGCGTGAAACAGAAACTAATAAATTTTGAACAGGTCAATTTTTATTTTTTAAATAGTTTTGTTAAATTTTATGTTCAATTGTTTTTGGCATATAACGTCTTCATTTTTTTAACAGCCTCCAATTTTTTTGATCAGAATCAGAAAATAAAAGTCGACCTGTTAAGTTAATCTCTTTTGTTACACATATAATATTCCTAACTTTCATTACACTTGAATTGTTTTAAATTTGCAGGGGTTGGTGGTTTGTTGTATTCGCCATAACGTTGGCAGCATGCATTGTAGCGATAAGAGAAGTTTATCAGAAATGGGTTAGAAGCCCGGTCATAGTCAGCTTTGCAACAAGAGAAACGCCAATTTATAAGATACCATTCCCAGCAGTCACCATTTGTCCAGAAACAAAGTCCAAACAAAAGCTGTACAACCACACAGAGATAATAAGGAAACTGATAGAAGACCAGAACTTAACTTCAGAAGAGTAAGTACGAACACTATCAATGATCAATCAATGATCAATGAAAGTAATGATTATTACTGAAAATTTAAGACAAGGAGACAAACTTGTTACTGAAATATAACTAAAGAAGTGTGTCATAAGTGATATGTCTTAAACAGGAGTACTTACTAAGCTCATTTGGTTTTGTCTTTCTTATTAAACAGGTCCTTTATTTTTAAGAAATGCATTTTTAGAACTGATTTTAAAATTATGTAATTCGCATTCCTTTTGCCGAAACTGGAATATGGATCACTGGTATGTGCCCCTCCTATGAAATCCATGTTAAAAAGTTAGGAAATATTCAGCGTAAATTTGTTAAATACCTATGGTTCAAAATGGACACATATATCCACCTCAAGGGGTACCACAAATACTTTACTAAATCGGTTCCATCTGAATGACATCAGTGAACGACGTATGTGTAATTCATTGATCACTCTACATAAAATTGTTACCGGAAAAATCTATTGTTCAGACTTAGCTGCATTATACTTTCACACTCCTCATTATGCCACCCGTTTCTCAAGACTTTTTTGTTTTCCCACCCCTAAAACTAATCTGTTGAAATTTTGACCTTTGTACGTAATGGATCTTAATTATCGTCAGATGCAAAATTCTGTGGATATTTTTCATAATACTATTAGATGCATCAAACAAAAAGTCTTTACAAATTAGTAAATTATGTGTACTTACTTATATATTTGTTTTTTTATTCGTTTTCTTAGTTTGTAATATTATCTACAATTCATTTGTTTTATACTTATAGTTACATTTCTGTCTTTATTTGTACTAATGTTATATTTAACTGTTTTTTTTTCTTTTTTTTTTACTAAATCTTAAATGTTATTCCCATTCATTAATTGGCTTAGGCTGTCGAACGGTGTATGCTAAATAAATAAATAAATAAATAAATAAATATATTTAATTATTTCTATCAATATATATTTTACGTATTAGTTCTTGTACACTAGTAATGAGACAATTCTACTAGAAAGTAATAGGTAATAGTTTCTACGTACTTAGCTATTATTCAAGTTCAACAACTGTACTTATTTATTTTAGGAGAAAATTGTATGATTATATGGGCCTAATTTGTAAAGAAGAATACGGTCATGACTTTTCCCAAGCAGATACATTCGATGAGGATTTTTTCAAGGAACTGGAAAATGTAAGTATAGGGATTATTCATTATATAACTGCACCCGGGAAAAAAATTCTTTTAACTTCAACGCCATCTGCAATTTGCTTAAAAAAAATCCTACTTGAAATCACAAATACGTCATTAAAAAGCACTGTTCTTGTGCTTATTTACCTAGTGTTTGGTTCTAATCAAGTCCCATAGCACCTCGGCCTTATCAAGCCTATTGTGCATCCCACTACTCAGTCCTCTTCAGCAAGTAGTTTTGTTCTTTTTACAAAGTCCAAAAGCTTCCTCCTAATATTTCCCATTTTCTATCCATTTGCCCAGAGCCCCCTGATCACACTAAGAGATGCACCACAAAAGAGCTCCGGGACAATGAACTCTGTTTCGGATCCCTTCCTGCTCCTGGTGACGGCACTGGCAATGTCGATTGATAATGAGTGTTTGTCCGCGTTTTTTCAAATGTAGCTCCTTTCTGCATAGCCTCATTTCTGTGGTGTCTTTTAGGTTTTTTAAGCTATATTTTATCAATTCAACAATTATCCTGCTAACATAAAATCAGATCAATTCATTATTACTAAAAATATAAGACTTCGGCAAGGTTACTCAAAAAAAGCGTCAGGAATCATTAGGCGAGACCGATACCGATGCCGATGCGCACAGTGGAATTGGGAGTGTCTCTCTACCTATAGAATTTGTTACAAACGGCATGCGGCATGTCTGAAGACGATAAAGCAAGGAATGTCTCTGACTGACGGGGCCTTTACCAACGCCAGAGATAAGGACGCCTCGGCCTGCCGGGGCCGTTATCAGTAAAGTCTCGAGGACTAAGGAAATAAAACTTGGCGGAATTGAAGGACCAGCAAAGACACAGCCAAAGAATACCTGGCTATGTCCAGGGTAAGCCTTCGGTAAGGGGATTCAGACAGAACACTGTTGGCTAAGGAACCACCTCTACAATATGAGGAGGTTCGAAACACCTCTCTGTAGAGGTTGTAAGCAAGAAGACGAGACAGTTTTCCATGTATTCTGCGAGTGCACTGGTGTCTCGTCAACGAGAGAATCCGTGCTAGGAGAACGATGACCTTCTTTGGTCTACATCAGAGGGGTCCCCTGAGCAACTTTCTCACCTTTTTCTCCTTTACAGGTTGGTTGACGGCTCAGGAGAGCTGATCTCTCGCTGGGGGATGCACAAGGGGCTCAATGGGGCCTAAGTGCTAAACCACAGTATACTGATACCCTCCAAATTATTCCAGAATTCCAGGGCCAGCGCAGCGCCAAGCTGACGAAAGAGTTAAGGGGCTTATCAGGAACCGTCACCAATTAGTACTTAGATTTACTGTTCTAGTTTTAGTTAGTGCAACAGATTATTTATTTGAAATTTTCCTTTTCCCTGTGGCAGAAATACACCATTAAATAAAAACAGTAGCAAATAATGTTTTTAATATTTCAGATTAGTTATATCAACACACTCTATTCTTGTTCCTACATGGGTAAATATTATAGCTGCGCCACAATTTTCAAACCAATAATTACAGATGAAGGAATATGCTTCACGTTTAATATGTTGGACCGTTCTGAAATTTATAGAGACAATGTGTAAGTATAATAAGTAAATACATACCAATTAGTTACTAATCTACAAGTAACAAAAAACCTTTTATAAAAATCGAAATATATTTACGTTCTACTGAAAAATATCTATTTGTTTATATTAACGTCTAAATTAAGTAGTTTGTGTACGTGGAAAATAGAAAAAAATCGTGAAGCAACACTGAAAGTAAACTCCAAAATAGAAATTTAAAAAATATAACTTGATCCTATGCACTGGTATATTGGCATTATAAGCAAATTGTTTCATATACAAACAATTTTATCGGTATTGACATTGCCTTTTATTTTTCAAATATGGTTAGTTATTAAATACTTTTAAAATAGTGAAAAACTTAAATTAGCTATTTACAAATCAATTTAGTATATTGCTAAAAAATAGAAGGACATGCTCTTTTTGCTATATCCATTTTGTGCGTTTCAGTGTGCACTATGAAAATTACCACGTCATGGAGAACCTTACCTATAGCAACTGGAGTATGGATGACGGTTATTCCGAGGATGCTGGTTTATACCCTTACCCGCATCGAGCTCTCTTAGCGGGTGCCAAAAATTCATTAACGATCAACCTAATAACCGCGAAAGAGAACATAGATCACACTTGTAAAGAATCCATACAGGGATATAGGGTATATTGTAGACATTGTAGAAATTTCTAAAATATAAATCAATATATTTCTTAATTTATGTAGGTACTTCTGCATATCCCAATGAGAATTCCAAGTCTCAGCAAACATTACTTTAGGGTAAGGATTTTTAAGTTTAACATAATACGTAAAACAAGTTAGTAGTTTTTACTGAAGCATAAGAACATATTGGTCGAACAATTGCCTTATAGTCAGTGGCCCATGTTGTTTGAGTCCTTAATATTTGCGAATAAGTCAGATCCAAATTCCAAGTAGTCCTAACCCCCCGTATCGTTTAAAATTGTCTTGTCTTGATTCTTTTGGATTTCTACTGCCTCCATATGTAGAAACTTGATCAAAGCCTCATTTCTCTCACTTAACTGGTATTATTTAGGTCTGTCACATGTATCTGTCCTATGTTTTGCAACTGCTAATTTCCAACGCTGTTATGCTTCAAGTGACACTTCTGCGCTTTTAACCTCGTACGTTTTACTTAAAATCTTTTTTATAATATATCGATATTTTTGTATTTGAACAAATTATTGTTATTTATTAGTATGTTATAATGTAATGTCTTTTCCAATGATTGTCATTTTTCTTCTTCCCTGTAAATGTTATAATAGCTGCAACTAGTTGGAAAAAATATAAAAATTTTATACTACATTAAAAAGGACTCTAATTTTTTCCCAATTACTTCTACTACTTCAGTATTATAATAGATTTTCGTCAATAAGTTCTTGAATGCGGCGTTCCTGATCTTCCTTCATATAAAATGATAGTTGTATTTACGTTGTCAGCCATTAGTATGGTAGTTTCTCCATTTTCCTTCCGTTCTTTGTTAGCTTGATCTTTTCTACACTCCTACGTCTTGCGCGACTTCTTGGAGGAGAAATGGGTACGTGCTTTCCAAGCACAGATAATTTCTTCTTCAGTGCTATGGTGAAAAGTCTACTATTTGGCAAGCACATTTGTAGCGTTATCATTTAGTTGTACAGAGGCTAGGTTAATGAAGACTCTAGACTTGCCTGTGTTTTTCTCTCCTGGCAGTTGTCAATGGTTGAATAATTTCCAAGCTCATTGCCACGCCGTCAATTTAGACTTCTTGATGTCGCTGTCTTCTTCGAGAGAAAATCTTAAACTGGAGATTAAATGTCCTAGTTGGTATTTATATCCGCTGTTTGCACTAATCCATGACGTTCTGGTGCATGGCTTTTAGCCATTGGCTTCTGTCGTTCCAGTCTTCGATTTCTACTAATGACTCCAACTCCTAGTCTCTTCTGAAAGTATTTCTGGATTTCTATTGCCTCCCATTTACGGTCTTGGTTAAAACCTTCTTCCTCGCAAGTCTATAGCATGTTTTGTTTCCTTTCCCAAACTGCTAATTTTTCAACATTATTTTTCAAATGACACTTGTCTTCCCGTTTCTTCAATGCATTCTTTCCGATCTACCAATGTGTTAACGATACCTTGTTTCTTTTAAGTTATTTTTGATTCTCTATTTTTTTCTTTAAAGTGAAACGTGGAAAAAATGGGACCACCGATCATAAACCAATTCACAGATTTTTTTAAAGAATTCATATATTTCTAGGGACGAAAAAATGTTTCAAGTAATATATCATTTCTATCATATAACATTTGTTGAGTTAGGTAAATGTAACCTCATATAACGAGCGTTCAAATAAAAACATGGTCGAAGTTGGCTCTGACACATTGGACGTAGGGAGTAGCTTATAGCGACCAACTTAACCTCATTTCTCAACGAGCTGTATAGCAGCTGTCAGTTTCAATAACGTTAATGACTATATAACTTTATTTTAAAGAATAATCGTGATAACAATAACAAACAATTAAAGGAGCTGCGGAAAGTGTTCCCCTCCTTGTTATAACAATAAATTAAAGCAGCTGCTGAAAGTGTCCCCCTCCTTGTTCCAAGCACTTTTCACACCTGTTCCTCAAAGAATTAAAGACATTTTCTAAGATGCTCGGGGTATTGTTAATTTCACGAATCTTGTCTATAAGTCGAGCCTGCAGATGGTTTAAATCAGGAATAGGCAGTTCTAAAATAGTGTTTTTAAGGTAAGGCCACAAAAAGAAATCACACGGCGTAATATCACATGACCTCGGTGGAAATTCATGTTCAGCATTGAGACTTATTAGTCGATTTTGGAAAACTTCCCTCAACATATCCATCGTCTCGCCTGCCGTATGTGCCCTTGCGCCATCTTGTTGAAAGTAAAAGTTTGTAATTTCGTTTTCTTCCAGCTGGTTAACAAAAGGAGCGATAATTTCTTCTCTATACCTTTGCGCAGTAAGAGTACCATTAAAAGAAATAGGTCCATAAATCCTCCTTCGATTGAGAGCACACCAAACTCCAATTTTTTGAGCGTGTAGAGGGCCCTCGACAAAAAAGTTACCTGGTTTTTCAGGAGACCACATTCTCATATTCTGTGAGTTTACGTAACCACTTAAATGAAACCAGACTTCATCAGAAAAAAAGGTGATATTATAAAGTTCACCGTAGTTGTTTAAAAACCATTCACAAAATACAGCCCGTCGCGGAAAATCAACTTCATGAAGTTCTTGCTGACAAGTTAAACGATAGGAGAACAAACGCAAATCTTTTTTTAACACTGTGTGGCAGGTACCGACTGATACTCCCACCATTTGTGATAAAACACGTACAGAAGTTCTTGGCGCATTTTCCATTATTTGTTGGACATTTTCTTTTAATTATTCAGTCCGCTTTTTAGATCGGCCGCTTCCTTCTTTTCTTGTTACACTGCCCGTTTCACGAAAAACATTAACGCCGAACTGCACTTTGAAAAATTTTGTACTCAACAACGCCGGGAAATTAATTTTGAAATTCCATGAAACATTCCTCAATAGAATACTTCCATATTCCATCAATCTTGCGTCCATTTCTAAAGTAGGACTCTATGATAAACACTTTTTGTTCTTGAGAAAACACCATTTTAAACGCTTTTTAAAACGAAAATATTCAAATTGATAGCGGCGATATAGCGCTTTGACAGATGACGTTTAAGTTCATTTGTTATACGCTACGCCCTACGTCCAAATTTTCAAAACCAACTTGACCACGTTTTTATTTGAACGCTCGTTATAATGTCATCATCTCCCAAATAAAAATGTACCTACTTTGTTGCCGATTTAGAGTTACGTGTCTGTTGGATCACAATGTATTTCTTTAAATTTTTAGGTAGCGTTAGACCAAGTGGCATTGGGCAATATACAACCCGTGATGATTACCACATCAGAGTCAGTAATGCTGTATAATTCCAAAAGAAGAGAATGTTTCTTTCCGTCTGAAAAACAACTTAAGTTCTTCAAAATATACACGTCCCTAAACTGCAAACTGGAGTGCTTGACAAATTTCACCCTTCAGTATTGTGGATGTGTAAACTTCTTTATGCCCAGTAAGATATTTTCTTTTTTTTATGTACAGATGTTTTCATGGTGTCTCATCAATAAAAGGTACGAATAGTCCTTTACAATGAAAAAACATTTTTCAATGTTTAATTACGTAATAAATTTTGTGGTGACTGAAACCCTAATTTTCTCAAGACCTCGTAGAGAATAAATTTATCAGTGTATCCTTTAAAACGTTATGTTCAAAGATGTGGAAATAAGCAGTTCTATAATTCAAGTCAGTGTTCAAACTGCTACGGATTTGAGAATATATATTTATCTACTTTTCATTTCTGTTTAAGGGGAGAATACTACAAAAATTTGCGGTATTGGTAAATTAGAATGTATGAAACAGGCTGAAGATTTATTGCAAATGGGTACCTTGCAAAATAAAATTGAGGTACCAAAAAATAAATCGACTAATAGCAGTGGTACAAAAGAAGAAAATCGCTATCAACGTCTGCCAGACTGCAACTGTATGCCAATTTGTAGCGACTTATCATACGATGTTGAAATTTCTCAAAACGATTGGCGTTGGATCCATTTGTATCGAGCTCTTAACATCAATGGTACTTTTAAATTTAAAGAGGACGAGTAAGTTCATAGTTATTATTATTAGAAATCAGAAGGTTGAAGTCTTTTAAATACTACTTGCCCCGATATCTGTGTAGTAACTATATAAAAACTTGGAGTATCAAACAATAGTAGGAATGGGGACATATATTTTGTTTTCTTAAAGTTTGTTGAAGTTTTAAATTTTACAAAAAATCTTATATATACTCAAGTAATTATAAATTAGACAATGTGACTTAATGAAACAGTAGGTGCACGTGGTATTTTTTGGATAAACTGGTAAATAGTTATTAAAAACCGAATCGACTTTGGCATAACCTAGAAAAGATACAATGTATTAGTAGATCAGCCCAAAATTATAATAATACATCTATATTATATTATAGGAATACTATTCAGAAAATAACTTATTGAATTACGAGCTAATTAAGATATGCAATTGGCAGAATAGTGTTGCGCATAACCTCCTCTGTAGCCACATGTTCTTGGATTGTTGATATCTTATTTAGTTTTCAAGATATTGTTTTTAAGTGCAAAGGTGTTCAAGTGTTAGTGACTATCTTTGAATGTGCTATTTTATAGAACAACGATGCAACGTAAAATTTTGCATGAAACTGGTGAAAACTTTCATTGAAACGTGTTAATTTTTGAAACAAGCTTAAGGAGATGATGGTCTAGGTTGTACGCAATGTTATGAATGATTTTGACGATTTAAAAGTTGTCAGTTAATTGAAGATGATTCTCGACCAAGTAGACCTTTGACGTCAACTGATGGCTCTCACGTTCAGAAAGTCAAATATCTGGTGCATAAAAATCGCCGATTGACTGTTAGAGAAACTGTAGAAGAGGTTAGCATCTCATTTGGGTCATGCCATAAAATTTTGACTGAAATATTGAACATGCATAGAGTTGCACCAAAATTTGTTCTTCGTTTGATGGCAACAGAAAGAAAATCATGTGAACGTTTGTCGGCAACTCCTTGAACAATTTAATGATGATGAAACATTCATTCAAAGGATCATAACGGGAGATGAAAGCTAGGTTTACGGCTACGACATTAAGACAAAAGTGCTATCATCATAATAGTTTGACAAAGGATCTCCACGCACCAAGAAGGCACTGCAGTCTCTATCCAATGTCAAAGTGATGCTCTCTGTTATTTCCGACTTTAATGGAATTGTGTATTTTGAATTTTTGTCTCAAGGTGAAACAGTGAACCGCGTGTACTATCAAGGCGTTGTACAACGGTTACGTGGAAAAATCCGCAAAATAGACTGGAGATAACTCGTGGTTCTTACACCATGACAATACGCCCGCACACTCAGCTTTGTAAATTCTTCAGTTTTGTAACAAAACAGATTACCGTCTTCCCTCGCACTCCATACTCGCCAGACCTGGCTCCGTGCGATATTTTCTTATTTCCGAAATTAAAATGCTGAAAGGTCACCATTTTCAGATTGTTAACGACATCAAAGCAAATTCGTCACAGACTTTAAAGGCCATTTCAAAAGAAACTATCAAGGACTGTTTGTATGACTGTTTAATAATAAAGTTTAAAAAATAAAGTTATTTTCTGAACAGACCTTATATTTCAAGTTCATACCGCAATCTGTCGTAAACTCTTTCAGTTCACTAAAAAGAATCATACTAACCTTCAAACGTGCCCTGACTTCTTGAGGCAATTCCCACTGTTCTAACTTCATTACAATAGAACCATACTTACGAAAAAAAAAACACAATAAAAAGGCACCAAGAAGAAGCTAATTATAGTTCCGATCGACGTTTATTTCATCTTCAAAGCTGAATGCAGACATTACGGGTATTATGATGTTAGCAGTTCCAGTAATTATTATAATTAGCCTAGATATGTTCTTGACCATTGTGACCCATTCAAAAAATACAAATGGTTAGTACTTTCATTATAACTGTCACTAAAATGTTTTAGCAATAACATTTTCTCAAAGACTGTTTGAATGATTAGTAGAAATTGTCAGTGCACAGTTAAAACTTTCTACAACATTTGACTATTACTGATTTTTACTCGTCTGATAATAAAAGATCTACAAAAATTTTAAACTAACTACTTCATTGTAGTATGAACTATTTGACAGAGCATGTATTTCCAACTACAATAACAGACTTTGTAGTACAATTTTCGGATTTAAATCTTATGGTAGGTAGAACGAATTCTTACCAAGTTTAGAAAACAATACTGACAAACAATCTTTTGCTTCGAAGTAAACTTTTCAGTTCCATATTGAGTAATACTAAACATTAATGCAATCAAATTTTAATACCAGTATCATTTATTTGCAGCTTCCACTTCTCCAGACTGACACTGTTTTTCAAGTCTAGTCAATTTATAACATCTCAAAGACACGAACTGTATGGACCGACAGATTTCTTGGCTAACTTTGGAGGTTTACTGGGACTCTTCACAGGATTTTCTGTTCTTTCATTGATGGAAGCCATCTATTTCTTAACGGTTCGCTTGTGCTGCAATTCACGTCTTTATGGATATTGGGCAGGTCGAGAAACGTAATCATTTGGTTTTTTTATAATAATACGCACTGGAAAAATGTGTGGATATTAATACATAAATGACATTGCAATGGGTCTTTCCGGGAATTTAAAAAATATATGTTATGATTATGAATAGATTACACAGAAAATTGTTTAGAATACTTCTTCTTTAAATTGATACTCTTCTATGTAGATAAAAATAAATTATAACATTGCAAATCTGAAAAATTACGTAAAAGCATAGAGGACATAGATCTCCGGTCGCCAATAATATCCCTCTACAAACGTTCCCAGTCCATTTCTTTACAATATGGCGGTGTTTGTTTACATCTGTATAATCTGTACATTTTGTTGTTTGCTATGAATATATTTTTTTTGCTGCTGCATTATCTGTTTTATTGAAGTATATTTCAATTTTATTTTAAATAAATTCAAATTTGACATTTTTTTTAATTGAAATTCTCTATAAAAATTTTGAAAAAAGTTATTGACAATACTTGTTCAAAATAATGTTTTTTATTAAATCAGCTAACTTTTAAAAAACTTTAACTTTTAAAAATTATATTTATAACTTGTGCAATTATTTTGCGTGACAACATTTAAAAATTGTCAATATTTTATTATTAACTGTGCTTGTGAAAAAGAAATAGTAAAAAGAGATTGATAAAATCACTTAAACGAGGTATGTTACACTGGAAAGACTGTAAAATAATTTCGTCATAACAGAAAACTCATAAATTACAAAATATGAACGTTTTGAATTAAAAATTTAACGACTTTTACAAATTACCTCTCTTTTGAGAAAAAAAACATCAAATTTGACAGAGCAAATGTGACAGAAACAGTAACAAATTTTCTCAAACCATATAACATTTTGGATAACACCATAAATAGAGCACTAAAATTATCGAGAAACTGAAAGAAACTTCCTTAGTCCACGGTTAGAGAGGAAAAGAGAGAAATTGTTTTTATTTTTCATTTTACGAGAAAAAGGTATTCTTGATTAAAATGTTTGCTTGTCTATAAAATGCGGTTGGCATGAAGAATTTGCATCTTGGATGTACAGGGTGATCAGAAAATCGGTAAAAATAAAAATCGTTTAACAATAAACTGCCTTTGTTTTTAACAATACAGAAAAATATTAAGGAAAGCTGCTTAGAATTGAAATTCATATTATAATTTCAATTTGTGTATAAGTCGGCCTACTTTGATAGAAACGGACAGTAAAACATTTTTATTGTTCATTTTACGAGAAAAAGGCATTCTTGATTAAAATTTTTGCTTTTAAAGACAAGCAAAAATGGCCCCCGTCACATGGAATTGCTTCAATTGTTCATTATAGCACTTCCGATTATACCGGAAGTAACTGTCCACTTCGTAATTTTAAATGGAACGCCTTATATATTATTGTATTATTGACAAGATAAATTAAAAATAAGTCAAAAATGTTAAACCTCCCCTGTACCTAAATCTAACCGTTTTCGAGATAATTGACATTTTATAAAAATTTTGACATATACAAACGTTTCGAAAATTCCTTATATGTCTTTCTTCGGTCTGGAAGCTTTCACTTGCTTTTCGGAACACCTAAAGAACATGCTCTACCTTCTACTATCAAAATTATCTGAAGAAAATTATACTGTGTCCCATTTTTATGCTACATTTTGAAAACATAAACCGACATAACTATTTAATTTCAAATGGGACATTCCGTATTTTTTTACACCGGGCCATAGAAAATCAAATTCTCTTTTCACCGGTATAAGCGTTGTAGGGATTACATTTTCGCAGATATCTGCGGTTTTTTCCCATTCTCAAGAATATATCATTAAAAATATTATCAAATGTGCCTTGAAAGACAAACATTGGTATTGTCATTAAGTATCAAGTATTTGCTCGACAAAAAAAATGCAAAATAATTATTCGAATGAAGATATAATAAATTTATTTTATGTCCATGGGACATTCACCTTGAATCACAATTAATACCTGCATTTCTATGATTTGGTATTTTGCAATATTTGAGGAATTGGACGCGAATGAAACAACCGGCTACATACAATAGAACATTGTAGAACATTTGTAGAACATTGGAATTTTTTTCAAAATTACATAAATATACGTTGTTTCACGTTTGTTGCATATTTTAAATAATGTGGGAATATAGTATTTACAAAAAAATAATAATAAGATTTTCTTCCAATGGTATACGATTATTAGTAACTGCAAGTGCAGTAGTTCATGATGAAAGGAATAAATTCGTTTAAAATCCACGTAATTATTTTGTGGAAAAACGCTCGGACACGTCGATTAGTATTTTTAGTTGAGGATTTTTTGTAATAAGAAAATTGTAGTGGATTTCTTTTAATGGAACACCCTGTATATTATGCCAACCAACCGAAATTATTTTATTAATGTTTCAGTTGCAAAATATCAAATCATAAAAATTCAGCTAATAATTCTTGTTTCATGGTGAATATTCCATGCATATAAAAATTCTTGATACTTCTAGAATACTAAATGACAGTACCAGTATAATTTTCTTCAGGTAATTTTGGTACTAGAAGGTTATGTTCTTTGTGTGTTCCGAAAAGCAAGTGAAGGGTTCCAGGACGAAGAAACATATAAGGAATTTTCGAAACGCTTGCATCTGTCAAGATTTTCGTAAAATGTCAACTATCTCGAAAACGGTTAGATTTAAGTATAGAGAAGCATTAACATTTTTGACTTTTTGATTTTTAATTTATCTTATCGATAATGCAATAATATTTAAAATAACGAAGTTGACAGCTACTTCCGGTATAATCGGATTGATGGCATTATTTTCATTGAAGAGAGCAGCATATCTGATAACTCCCACAGAATCGCATTATCTTTGGTTTCTCTGAAGCGTTTAAATTTACCGTGATGAACCCTGTAACTACGCTATCAATACTCAAGGGTAATAATAAAACCATCTGTCACTTTGTTAAAACATCTTAAGACTAAGAAACCTAAAATATTTGTCATGGTATGTAAATAATTTTGGCAAGTTATTTAACTTCAGTTTTTAGTTATTGGTTTTAATCAATGCATGTTTGAAAAAATAAAAAGTATATGCAATATTATGATCCCCTCCTTTTTTAAATGAAGTTATAATATCTTTAAGTGCTAATATAAAATAACATTACCATTATAATATTCAAATATTGGTTCCTATTCCATATTATCGTCCTATCCCCCTAAAATCCATTTATGCTTGCGATAGTTACCTATATGATTTTCAGAACCTGTACAACGCTGATTTTTTAGTGACTAATTTCATGTATGCTGTTTTCTGGTGAAATTAAAAGTGTACTATTAATATTTAAATAACTTTTACCATACTAAAAACTTTATTGTATTTTCGAAATAGAATAAGGAATTAAATACTATGTAACAGTAAAACTTGAATTATTTATAAATCTATCAAGTGTAGAAAATACTGATCAAAAATAAAAAGGTTTTAAAAAGCATTCTGTTTTATTGAATAGTCAGATTTTATTAAACTGGATTAGAAATCTCATACTTATTTTTGCTAGTCCAGTTTCTGCACATTTTAATATTACCCCCTATCCTCAATGACAAGAAATGTATTATTTCTATAAAAGAGAGCATAGAGAACCCAGTGAATAAACCTAGTAGCCCGCCAAAATTGGAAATAAAATCTAAGAATTCATAGAGCTTGTTTCTCTCCCTATGTGGTTCTCCCTCTCGTCTCTATGTGGTTTCTCTGGAAATACAAGTAGACTGTGGAATACACGTACCTAAAAAAACAGATTATACAGAATTTCTTATGCATGTATGAATAATTCATCATATTAAAGTTTAAAAAAATAAAAATTTTGATTTACTTTTCTTGGAGACAATTTTCGAATGCATCTTACCCTTCTCTCAATCGAAGTTTCTTTTCTCTGGACCTGTGTTCTAACTTATTTTAAGAAATCTCCCAATCGTAAGTTATTTCAATGCAACTAGGCAGACAATCACAGTTTCCCACAGTTTCTCGATCTTTGTGAAGTTTTGTTTTTGCTGAAAAAGAATGAAAAGTAGAATATATTTTTGTATGCATTTTTTACTAATACACTGTAAAAAAAATTCACTCAATTTTACTCAATAATGTATCAACCGCACCCGATTGAGTGAAATGTTCGTTCTATTAGTATGAGTACAACTGAATGAAACTATTACATCAGAAATGAGTGAGTTTTACTCAAATCCGAGTTCTGCTAAATATCAATTGAACAACTTTTAACTCTTTTCTGAGTATATAAAACCAATTTAGAGTTGACTTTTTCTCTAATATGATTTAAATTTAACTATTATTGAGTCATTTTTTACTCAGACTTGGTTTTTGATTAACTAAATATTGAGTGCAAGAATAAATCACTCAAATGATTAATTAGGATATACAATGTTGAAATTAATTCACTTTGCGCCTCCTGTCCTGGCTAGTGGCTGAGAGCCACCAAGTGAGAGCCGCCAGCTGAGAACCGCCGGCTAAGGCCTGTTCTCCTGACGATCACGCTTTTCTAGAGCATCTAACGATAAATTATGGTAAAGATTACAAAAGCAACATGTAAGTGGTACCATCTTCATGACGCCATTCAAATTACTCGAAATTAATATACATTTAAATGGGCTATATAAATAAAAAATTGAAAATATCGAAAATAGATAGGACAATAATAAATTACTATTAGGTATACTGTTTAGACGTAGTATGGTGGTAACCAGTATTCTTCTTCTTCTTCATCTAGTGGTTGGTCCTTTAAAAGTCCCATAGCACTGCGGCCTAATTAGGCCTATTGTGCGTCCCACTACTAGTCCTATTCAGCAAGTAGATTTGTCCTTTTTACAAAGTCCAAAAGCTTCCTTGCTGACACTTCTCTCAGCTCCTTGGGTTCCAAATAGGGTCTCCCAAGGAGCGCCATTCTGCTACGTGCAAATCCCGGGCACTCGCCCAGGATATGCAGAGAAGTTTCATCCGCCGATTCACAT